ATAAGAGAACATGAAGATGAACCAACATATTTTCCCATATTCAAGGAACTCATTGTCCACTATTGTGATTCAATTCAAGGTCTTCATGACTTGGCTCTACCACCTCTCAAGCTCATCTTATGTTCGTAAAGCCTTTGTGTTCCACAATTATACAAGGAAACACCACACTTTGGTGTATATCTATGATTCTTCTGCCTACAGTGCTTTTGGAGTTTCTAACATAAAACACTCTACTAGATGTCAAGCATATGAGAATGCATTAGATGAAGTTCCCTGCAGGAAAAACTGACCAATAACTCCAGGTGACATATCCTATTACATAGATCTACAAAAGGAGCAGTTAGTTCTCTTAGAAAGGAATCTGTATAGAAAGGAAGGTATGTGGCAGAGTCAGAGTATTTTAGGAGTAGAATGAAAAAACAAATACTTGAGAGGAAAAGGGAGACAGAAATTGATGTTTCTAGAAAAGCTAGTGGTGATTGAACAGCTCTTAATTTGTCCCTCAAGATTATTCTACAACATACGGCTGCCAGCTCGTGTCCATTATGATTCCAGCATCCACTCATCTCTGGTGAGAGAGCACTTTTCAAAAGAAAGATTAGCATTACTGGATTCATGTCTGTCTTCTTCATATATTCTAAACCCATGGCTGTACCTTCCTTTGTTACCACTGCAAACTCTGAAGATAGTGCTTGATACAGAATAGGCATGCAGCGTATAACTGCTGAATGAATAAAAGCTGAGCAGTTGAAATGGTTACAATTTAAATTCATTCTGTGCAAAGGTCCCAGCATTCATAGAGAGGCATTTCAATAAGAATATGTGGCTCATTTGAAGAATTGCTAGCTCAAAAATTTTGACCTGGGGTACTAGGAACCTAATTGGGGACAGTGGTAGGTCAATTGTAAAAGGAAGTTAGAAAACACATTTCAAAGCTTTCTGTGACCTGTTCAGAAGTCAAAATGTCATCCGGAAGACATTGCAGTCATTGAAGAATATTAATGATATGGTCTGATTTTCTCCTTGCAGAGGTCATTTTTGAGGAAATAGAGGATTGAAGAGATAAAGTTTAAGGCCGGGAGAATAGTTGGGAATATTCAAGCAGTTCTTTCTCTCTCTCAGTTATTCTGATAGAAGTCAGGAGGATATAATGAAGAAAAGAATACGTAGAAGATTTGTATTTAGATACTGGGATTTTGGAAAGGCAGATTTGAGTATGAGCAGGAAATTCTGAACTGGGTGATTTCCTCCTGTTCATTAATTAAGATCAGCAGATATAAAAACAGAATGTTTGAAGAAAAGGTAATAAGTTCCTTCTATAGTCTGTGAGTTTGAGATGCCTCTGATATATATACACACATACATACACGAGCAGAAAAGTTGACCAGGCAGTAAAATATAAAATATGTGAGCAGTCAGAGTTGGAGATGTAAAGTTGGGGTCATAACTAAAAGCTGAATCATGAAACCAGCATGGTGGCCCATACATCCTATCTCAGTTACCATGGAGGCTGAGTCAGGAGAATCATTTAAGGCCAGGAGTTTGAGACCATGAATTTAAGACCAGCCTGGGCTGAGGAGACCCTGTCTAAAAAAGAAAGAGATGGAGATCTGAAATCAAATCAAGGAAAACACCCATGGAGAGTTGGTGGAATGAGATAAAAAGCAAACTCAACTGTTCAATTTAAGATAGAGGAACCTGTCAACAATCACCAATAAGCACAGAATCAAAGATGCAAATATGAAAAATGAGTATAAATTTTACTTCAAAAACTTCTTAGATAATTAAATAATTATTTAAATAATTAAATAATCAAATAAATTAAGTATTAAGTAATTAGATGATTAAATTAATAATTAGATAATAAAATTATATATTCCAAGTTAATATTTTAATTCTCCAATGGGGAGAAATAAATTTAATGAATAAAGAATTACAATTATTTCATACACATTCAAAGAACATCATGGTTTATAAGAATTTTTTAAAATTTCATAAAATAAAGACTATATTTAAAAGCCTGAGAAAATGTATATGTGAATGACAGGAGACAAATTTAAAACAAAACTTAATAGAACAAAATCAAGAAGTAATCACTCAACATTTATATCTCTATTTATCCCTAACAGTTTCTGGATCAGAAGACAGACAAATTATTTGCTTACGTTGTAATCTTATCATCAGTTCCCCACATCCACCACACTCACCCAGGGGAATGGACAGAGCCAGATGCACTCTGTGCATACCAGAGATTTGTACCACCAGAGAGGAAATATGTAATTATGAATCTCAGAATTTATATGATGCAGCTGAGCAAGCTGCCCATCTTTCCTCTAGAGAAGGAGAGAGAAAGACCTTAACTTTCTTAAGTAAATAAATTCTTTTTGGGGAGATGAAGGTCTCTAGATTTATTATCCTGAGAATGTAAGCAGATGGCACCAGAGGAGATATTTCTAAGTCTCTCAGGAAGTCTCTCTTGTCTTTAACTTTCAAAAGTTGTTTGCCATTCAAACATCATTTAACTCACATACCAGGCATGTTTTGCTTAGAAAGCTTTGATTGTGCATAATGTGAACATATTCATGTGGCATTGTTCCCCAGCACTTATCAGAAGTGCTAGATTCTGGATCCAACTTGGAATATTATATTGGGGTAAAATCTAGCTTCTTAATATTTATTAAGATTACCTCTTATGATTTTTTTGAGTCCCAGCTGAGATAAATCACTAAGAAGGGCTCTATGCACAGTTGATCCACAGAAGAGCTGAACTCTATCACAATGTGATGAGGGATTATACATCTGACTGACTTGAGCTGGTGTGAAATTGTGAAATCTAGAGCAAGGTACATCTTCCCTGGATTTAAACGATTCTGAAAATTTTGAAAAA